TTATTACAAATGAAAATTAAACAAAATATAATATAAGAATATATATGCTACCAGAAGTAAAACACTGAGTACAGTAATTGACTTTCACAGATTTGAAATTGTTGGTGAACTTTTATATGTTAGTGTCATTTAAAATAAAATAAATTCTTGCCTGACAAAAATTATAAGAATAATTAGAGAATGGAGAACTCTGTTTCTCCATTCTTATTCTCTGAAATAGAACCTTTAGGATAACTAGCGTGCCTCTACAACTCTTGTGTCATAGTGGGCTGTGGGTAAAAGGCATAATTGCGTCTCATCTTCTTGTTTGACAGACTGCTAGATGTCTACTTCTACCTACTGCCTCATTTGAAATAGGAGTTAGAATATTTTCGATTTAAGGCATGAAGCTTCTAAAATCTAGTAGGCACTACCGGATACTGTTTAGAGTATAATTGGTAATGAGTGAGTTTCACTTTCAGCATTTAATCGAATGCGTAAGTCTGGTACCACGGTGGTTAAGCCCCGCATCGTGTTTAACCACCTAAAGGAAATGTCACGATGACTGTGGTTAAAATCCAAATTTTAGGGGGTAGAATAATTGTATTAATTTACTTTCATTTGATGTAAAATTGCAGTTTTCAATCATGTGCTGAGGTCTGAAGAACAACAGAGGTATTAGATAGACATCGCTGGCTTCTAAGAAAAAAACTATAGCTAAATGTATAGCTTCTATTGGTACCAGTGAAATTCCGTTGAATTTCAATAGCATGTTTATCGGCGCATTATACCGATACGAGTGTTAGGAGCACCATAGTATTCACTCTATACGGCAGGTAATCATTTTAAGAAACTATGGATTCTGCCTACTACTTACCATCTAACTTTGAAAAGGAATACCTACTGTATTTGTATAAATTAGTTTTATAGGTCTTAGCGTACTCTGTTTAAGCACTGTGTGGTTTAAATTTATATCAAAAGACAAAATTAAAAAGAAATATGTATATAGAAAAATATGTATATAGAATGCTTTATAATAAAAAAGAACAAAAATAAAAATTGATCTGTTAGCTTTTATTTTTTTCACTTCAGCGTTTTTAGTAATTATAAAGAATTAGAAAACTGAACCAACAACTACTGCAAATAATAAAAATAATTTATTTATATAAATTTTTGAAATCAGTAAAATTTTGATTTTAATCTTCATTTCGGGTATTGAGTACCCTAAAGATGACTATAGATCAGGGTTGTCCAGACCAGATGCGATCGAGGGCCAATACAAATCACAATACAGATTAGAGGGCCGAAAAAATTAATACATCCGTTCATAGTTCTTTTCGGCAAAAATAAAAATACAGTAATAATGTTAATATAATATACCATAAAAATAAAATAATGTAGTTTTACCATTACATCAAAAAGAAATTTATGTAATTGTAGTAGATTAAAAACATGTCGCGGGCCATGCAAATATTAGACATGCGGCCCGCGGACCGTACTTTGGCCAGTTCTGCTATAGACTATAGCCGAAATATTGGTGAAAAAAAAATATTTTAAGAGTGTTTTATTAGGTTGCTAGTAATTTTATTTCCAAAATTAAAATATTAAATAATAGATATTAATAATAGTAAAAGATATATATTATTGTATTTATTTCAATTTAAATAATATTAATTGACATGCATTCTTTAAAGTCCTTTGCATTCAAAGTATTTTCCATATATTGATTAAATTTATGGCACATAGGGGATTTACAAATTTCTAGTTTTATAGTTAAAATTAATAATTAAACATTTACACATAATAAAATCACGGACTTTGATAACAACTCAGTGGGGAAAATTTTCTTTATGAGTTTGGAACAAAAATAAAAACAAAAACCAAAAAAAGAACAAAAGACTTGTGTAGAACAAGACGAACAGGCACATCACAGCATGTGTCCAAGTTTTCTTCTTGCAAGAAGAAAACGAACTCCGAGCAGAACTCTTAAATAAATCTTTAATAATGGAAATAGGGAAAGTGGCTCCATGAATGCAGCGAGCGTAGTGTCGAGCGTAGAGCAATGCAGCGCCAGAAGAAATTACAAATGCACAAGAGCTCAGTGGGGCAAAATTTTATGCCCATTGGATGCTAACTGGCGTTGCATGCGACAAAAACAAACGACAAAGTGTGAAGCGCTGCGGCTGTGACACTTCGTATTCATAGACTCTCATGTGTTCTTAGTGTTGATAAAGTTTGATGGATACGCCTCACATAATTCCCAGCTAAAGTTGAGTTGGGCAGGCAGAACAAGTGAAGTTTGGTCTCGAATTTATGTTTCCATTTACATTTCAACATTTCCATTTCATATTTATTTTAAGTATTTTTTGTTTATGTTTTTTTTTTTGCTATAGATTTTTTTCTTTAAATACTCGTAAAATTAGAATAAACCGACAGAAATATGAATTTCATTGAAAAATTTTCCATGTGGTGGCATGCATTTTATTTTTGAAACTTATTTATGTTGTCTTCACAGCAAATCAATCAAATAGGTTTTGTTCTAATGAGGGTATATTTTTCAATAAATGACAAAAAAATTAATAAGTGTCAAAGATATTTGTTCTTTGTTTTGTTTTTATTAAGCGTAATTTGATTAGGCCACTACCTAAACACATACTATATTTTGTCTGTCAAGCGTACGAACAATGGAAGACCATCATTTTGAATGAACAATGTATAATCTCTAATTATTTATTGATATTAAAAATACTAATAGGTAGCCAATTGAATATGCAGTCTACCTGATGGCGGAAACCATTTTACCTGCATTGCTATAGGTATATTCAAGGGGAATGTAATGACCTTGTATAAGTCATATACAAACTATTTGGTATTCTCTTAAAGGACAGTTTAACTATTAATCGTCCTTGAACTATTAATCGTTTTCAGCGAAAAATCATCCTGAAACCATTTCTTTTTATGCAACCCGTTTTTATGCAGTGACTGTTCATTTAGACAATCTTTTGGTCGAATATTCTGTTTCAATAAAAAACTATCTGCCAGTAATAGCACGCGAAAGTATTTCATAAAACTATTTAATAACTTTGGAATGATAAATAATTGTCTAACTTTAATTGGCAGCCTATAAGATTCTATTAAACTATTCTGAGCTTCAAATTGCACTGACTCTGAGCTTCAAATTTGGCATTATGGAATTCATAATAATTTTCTTATTGCCCGGTTTCGATAGGGTTTCTAGATTCTTCACTGTGCACATCACAAATGCGAACTCTTAGTTATAATAATTTCCAATTTCATTACTAACAGCTCCCAACCAATCTTATTTCAAACTGCCACTTCATTGCTATTTCGCAATGCCTGAGTATATTACTATCCTGGGTACATATCTAATCCCTTATTTTGATCTGTTAGTTCTCACAGTTCTTTATATAATAAAATCTTTTTTCTACTGAAATTTTGCAGTGAATTATTTTCATCTTTGGAACACGTTAGATTTTGCTCGTTTCTGATTATTCGTTACTTGACTGTTTGTCGTAAGTTTAGTGGAGCAGTCATTTGTCTTTCATTATAAAGCGAATTGTTCTAGAGAACAATTCTATAGAGCCTTTATTGTTCGAATCATTTTCGTCATTGACAGTTTTATCCAATCACCAACATAGTCTTTTGCAACACTTGTATGTTTCATTAAATCGTAATAAAGTTTTATTTATGTTCGCGAACTTAAATAATTAACTATTCTATCAGTAATATTGTTATTATACCGCATACATTGTATTACCATAGAATTGTTCTCTATTATTTCAGGACGTATTATATCGTTTATAATACTTTCGTACTAAAATCACATATTTTTCATATTCATATCTTTAATTTTACGTCAAAAAATGCTTATTATACTTCCCTACCAAATGCTATACTATAAAATGACTTCTTTTGGATTCAATGTTCTTTTAGCAATTACTTATGTATTTGAATTGCCCCAGATATGACATTTTGGTTTGCTGAAATATTGGAAAGAGAAAAATTCACGAAAAGAAATTCAGTGCTAAAAATCCTAACATTTTTTGTGGAAAATTTTCATAATGTTTACACGTTCAGCAATTGTTAAACTATTTAAATGTAGAATCACAATCCTTGAACTGAACACATGATGTCCTATATGATAGTATTGTTTATTTAATATTTGTGTGAAATAGTGCGCCAAATCGCAGTCACAAAATTATTAGTTCCATTTAATTCTTAAATTAAAAATTTTGTAAAATTATGCTGTAGGGAAATTTGAATGTGCTGTCTTCAAGCACTTAACACAGCATTATTATGCTTATAACCATAAAAGCATTTAGAAAGTGTTAAATGATTTGATTTGTATTAAAGCAGCAAGTTAATATGTTTTAATGGGATAGTGAAATCTCATCCTCAGTTACATTCGCAATCGCATTTAACTTAGAAGATAAGCATGTTTATCTTCTAAGTTAATTATTAATGGATATTCAAGAGATGTCAAGATGGATTTAAAATTTGTTTCAAGAGAACAAATCTCGATTCAAAATTTCATTGCACTAAATCCGTCATTAAAATATTATTTCTGATAAGAATTAAGAAATGATATCGGCCCAACAAAAGCAAACGAATCAAGCAACATCGTCAAGTAAACGTGGTCTATCTCACCACGTTTACTTGAGGTGAGATAGACACGTTTACTTGAGGTGAAACTTTAAATCAAAAAAGATATTCTCTGCTTTAAATATTGTCAGAGAGTAGTCGGGATCAGAATTTAGAATTTTCGTAGTATTTTTCAAATTGAAAAATTACAATAACAACACCATTGTTATTTTATTGTTTTAGCAATCAATTTTAGATTATTTAACACAATGAACAAATCCAATAAATTTTTTTATAACAGTTAAGAATTTATTATTTTTCTCATTGAATTTTTAATATATACTATTACATTAAATATGTTTGTTAAACATTATGTACTTTATGTTCTTAATTAATAGTATTTAATAGCATATCCTTGATATATTTTTATGTTCGCTTTTTTAGTTGTCTACATTTCTTCAATAACGCCATTCTTGGATCCATTTTTTATTGTCGAACCTTTTGTGGTTTCAAAGGTTCCTTACCAGCTACAACATTTTGTAAATTTGAAGACATATTTTCCTTAACCGATTGTTTTTGAGGTTTCCTTGGTCTTGTGCAGTTTTCCATCATATTTCCGGAGAGTTCTAATTTTACTTGTTTTGCAGCACATACATTTCGATCAGTCCTTTTTCTTTTTCTATTATTTTCAGAATTTGATAATAATACATCGTTACAATTTACCAATGTATTGTCTGCCATTTGAGGAATCACTTTATCAATAAGTTTCTGCTTAGAAATAATCCGTTGTATGTCAGTTTGCTCTTCAGGGATTTTTCTGGATTCGATGTTTGGATTATAATCGATAGCAATAACTTCCACATCATCTATATATTTTGGAACATGTGCTATTCTCTTTTTTGCCATCTTAACGGGTTTACCGATCTGTACTTCCTTATGTTTCTCTTCAACTTGTGAGGTTTCTATTGTCGTATACATTTTACCACCGGCTATTTCATACAACATTTTGAATTCCTCTGGAAAATATTCAGTATTTTCGTAACTCATTGCGACGTTCTCCAACTTCTTATGCGTACTTGATCAAAGACAATTGACTAATGCTAGAAACAGAATTAGTTAACTTCTTTTATACATTATTTACGGATATACTATGAGTACCTAATTAGCTAACAATTTTACCTATTATATTGGATTTTTATTAAATATAATGACCTGAATCGATTGCATATATCAAATAAGCTTTATATTAGTAAATATCAAGGCAAAACATTTACAATTAAAAATATTCTAAGAATCTCAGGTACAGAATAGCTACCTCGTGTGTTTTCCAGATTTGTCCTTCAAAATTTTGGTGACACAATTTTTTATCACTATAGAATATTATATTTTTATAATTTTATTTTGTATTTGGTACGAATAAAATTTATCATTGGAACATGGAAAATTAAAAGAGTATCCAATTCTGAAAATACTATTAAAAACTCAAAAGCGATGCCTTGTGAGAAGTGCTTGTATGGAGGATGTGTTCAATTACTATCTGAGCTAAGCCATCATTATTTGGTCTTAACAAATTGCTTAATATGAACTAAGCTATCATCGCTCTGTGATGATGTTTGATATTACATTTACTTAGCTCTTTAGCCGTGATATAACTGTTATTGAATTTTTTTTTATATTTCAAATAAAATTTATGAGCATCTTAAAACTATCTATCGTTTGTATAGCAACAGTCAATGACTAATACGATAAGTAAATCAATTGACAAGCGATAGTACAGTGATGAACTATAACAGATAATTGTATTGTAGTAAGTATCCATCTACTAATCGGTCCCTGTAAATGGATGAAGTACTCTTTGTTTAAGGAACCACTGATTTAAAACGAAATCTGGTTGTTATTGCTACATATAGAACTAGAACACTAATTAATTTAAATACTATTAAACTAATATTTTCTACTGCATATATTATTATTTTATTATTTATTTATTTATTATTATTTTTTATTTTTTTATTATTATTATTATTTTATATAATTATTATTAAATTATTATTACATACACTATTATTTTTTTTTGCAAAGGGCATTGCTTATAAGCAGGCATTTTCGCAAACTATTATTTCTAACTAACGAAATCAGCTAAGAGGGAACAAATAATTATCAAGTCTATTAGTTGTAGTATAAATAAACAACCTTAACAAGGAGACAACAAGGCAACTCTTGAAAAATTACATTTTTGAAAAGTACCAGAAATCTTTTAAAGAAAATAAATCTATATATCTACATTTATAGCAAACTTAGTTAAGTACAATACTATATCATTAATAAGAAAATCATCAATTCCTGTTTCTCCCATTAGAGCATAGGGTTTCAAAGTGATTTAAATAGCGCTATTTAATCCGAAGAAAATAAGTCTTTTCGAAGGGGGGATGTTGTAGTCCGCATACTACATATTAATATGTAAGGAAGTCGAGCATACCATTTCGACGATATTTGGTTTGATGGTGCATATAGCATTATACCTCCTCAATCCTCCCAAAAAAAATCAAATAATAATCATATAACAAAAACTATGTGGTAATCATACTATTATTCTACTTAATAGTTGATTAAATCGCTATTAGAATAAAAATGGTTTAAAAATACATGTAATTGATGCAAGTAATTATTAAAATGTATCTTTTCATAAATACTATAACAAATTCGTCTAACAAATTTCAACTTTCAACTTTAAGATCACTACCAAGATATACTTAAATTAATTTTCTTTTAACTTTAACTGCACTGTAACGCATAATCAATAAATACTTCAGTTAGAGTATATAGTTTCCTGAAAATAAGTCCTTTATTCACACAAAGCATATATACACGCAATGCGGTCCACATTTCACTCTGAAGAAACGAATGCGGCGCCAAAGTACAACTTAAAAGTTGCGACTGAACCGCAATCTCTGAACCACATCTCAACTGAATTTTTTTCCTTTGAGCGCATATTTTGTAATAATCATGCAAAGAATTTAGCTGTGGTTACTTTTCAGTGCAGGACCAATTGTTAGTCATTTTTACATACAAACTTGAAAATTTATGCATTTTTGATTTATACAGAAGCTGGCAGTCGAGGAACAAATGCACTCGCCGCATGCAATATGAGTATTGCATGTCTGGTAATTAAGCAAATAAGCTCTCATAACAGAAGTGATAAGGACTAGCAATATCAAATACAGCTCCTTAAATGCTAAACAACTTGTTTACATAAAAATTTCGTTTTTATCCGCAGGACATACTCATAAACTCCTTGAAGCATAGACAGCAATAAAGAAACACAGAAAAGTCTGTAGTAGCTGCTTGGAAGTTGGAACATCTGCTCACATGTGTAAAAATCAAATTTTATTGATATTTGCTAAAAAAGTTGGAGCTTTGCTTAAGTAAAATAAATAAAATCTTTTATTTTAGAAAATAAATTTTTTGTTTTTAGTTCAGTATGGCGCACCGTGTTTACGGCACTAAGTAGCAGCAGTCGTAGGGCTGGCACATGGCACATGTGACTTTAGAACTCGACGCATGCAACAAATATCGGCAATGTGCTGCCATAAGCCGCAGTTCAATAAGTGCAAGTGTGGACTAAAAATAAAAGTCGCAGCTATAAAAATAGATATTGATTAAGAGACACATGGAAGGTAGCGAAAATAAAAAAACCAATTAAATAATTTCAAAGAATTTGAGAAGAGCATTTCAGGACAAAACCGCAAAAGTGCATAAAAGTGATTTAAGAATAGACCGCTATCTATGGTGAAGGTTAGTAGCTGTACAGAATGAAAATAGTATCATATGTAGGAAAAATAGAACAAAAGTGCAATTGAAGGTGAAAAGAGATTGCTTTCAGCCTTCAATACTCTAATTAAGTTGTAAAATTATTATTTTCATTTTTGAAAAGCTTAAAATTGCTCGAATACAATCTATAATTCCATTTGAATTAATATTCACGAAAGTTCTTATTGGTTTAAGAGGGTCTTCAAAAAAACTTTATGAACATAAATTAAGAAAATAGCCAAGTGAAGTGTAATACCGTTGTTATTTGAGTTGAATTGTATCACTACGGAGTTGAAAAATATTCATATACGTTACTTTTTTTACCACTTTTAATCCTTAAAAGAGTATAAGGCATCACCATACTGTTTTTGACTGACTCGATTTTTTCCAGCAATAATAGTTTGCACCAATTCGGACCGTACTTAAAAACTAATCTCAAACAGTGTTCCTTCAAAAGATTTTATGAATTATTTGCTGTCTTAATCCTTTTAGATTCGAATTCAAGATGACTTTATTGATGTGGCTGTAAAGTCTTCTTAGTATATAGCCAACCTAGCGTCACTTCTTTGTTTTTATTATTTATTAATTCTTTAGTTGTTCGTTGTCAACTGTTTTATCAGACTTATGATACAAGTAATACTAATACTTATTTTTGTAACTTTCTTATAACCTTTTTGTGTATGAATCAAATCTATATCTATCTATATATCTGTATTAATCTATACAGAATAAAGAAGCTCTATATAAGCTCTATATACTCTAAAACTTGTTCCTGTTGAAATTTAGAGTGATTACTTCCACTTCTTTTTAACATAAAAGAGGTCATCCAAAAGAGCAAGCTAGGCAAAGATTCTCTATGTATGGAAACAACACAAATTAATGTACAAGAATTTCATCGACCGCACTGCCACCATTGAAATGCTATCGAATCATTTTTGAATCCTACCATTACGGATGATGAAAAATAAATTGAATAGGATAATATTTAATACAAGTAATTCTGGTTAAAAATGAGTGACCGTTCACAAACGACTTTAAAGTAAGAAGTGTTAGCAAACAATGGTATGTTGAATGTTTGTTAAGATTGGAAAAGAATCGTTTATTACGAGCTGCTCCAACGGTAAATTCGGTCCTCTTTTTCTCACAATTCGACCGCTTAAATTATACAACAAAGAAAAATAGCGGCCACAACTTGGTTAAAATAGGAAGAGTTGTGTTCTAGCATAATGATAATATAAGACCACATGCAACTTTAATGATTCACAACAAATTGACGGAAATTGATTGGGAAGTTTTGATGTGTGGACTGTAATGCCCGGACCTTACACCATTTGACAAACGATTTGATTACATCTTTCGATATCTATAAAGTTCTCTGAATAAATTCTCTTAATAAAAACTTGACTGATCGAAGACTCGCTAAATATCAGTTGGCTAAGTCTTTCGCTAATAAACCCTGAGTTCTGCACCGATGGAATTATGAAGCCCGAATTCGAAAAGCTACAAAATGTTATAAATAATATTGGTAAATATAAATTTTATTCAAATAATTTATTAATTAAGAAAATAGTTGTTTAAAAATATACCATAATACGACGTATATTTTTTATATCAGTTAATGTTTTTTATCTGACAAATATTATGCAATTAAAAAAAAATTATCTTCAAAACATTTATCTGATATTCCAGTACGATATAGAGTTCTTTTTTCAAGCATTTTGAATATATGTGTTTTTTATGTCACTACACTCTTCCCTCCAAATGATAAACGAGTATTTCTAATTATGCGCTTATCAAAAATAAAGCCGAATATGCGATAAGCTGCTTTATGACCAAACATCATCATGCAAATGAGTTGTCTATGTCACCCAATAGCTGCTTGATCAAACGTGTATGAAACGACATATGCAACTCGTTCGACACATTTGCTTAGTTGTATGCTCAAAACATTTTCAAAAGCAAATTGATTTTTGTCTAGAGAAGTTGGAAGCAGTTGCTTTTTACGTCTGCTTCGAGTTGGATATGTTAGCGCTCGTGGAACGGGAAATTCTATGAAATAAATGACAGAATAAAAAATAAATAATATTAATAAAGGAAATTATTTCCTTTAAGTGTTAAAAATAATAAAAAGTTTTTATGAATTTTGTTGAGTGACCAACTAAACAGTGTAAAATAAATCAATTTCCTACTTATAAAAACATACTCGCCCAGTTGGTAACTAAAACAAAATTAGATAAAAATTATAAAATAAATACATTTAATTAATTCAAAAAAAAAAACCATAGGTAAA